GTGCATACAGAATTTTGGTAGGGAATCCTTCCAGAATACAACCACTGGGCAGACCAAGAAGGAGGTAGGACGATAATATCAAGATGGATCGTAGGGAGGTAGGCTGAGAGGATGATAAATGGATGGAGTTGGCTCATGATTGTGGCTGGTGGCAGGCTTTGGTGTTGTCAGTGTTGGGCCTATGGTTCTGCTACCAGGGAATTAGTTTTTCAGATGAAACCTCTGAAAGAAAACAGCAAAATAACTAAACCAAAGTGAAACAGAACCTGTGAGAACAACAGTTTTTGTGGAGCTGAAGATGACTAAATGTGCTGTTCAAGAGGCAATATGTTTGTCAGGTCACAATGTCAAATTTGCTGCATACACATTGACTACTTGTACATGATACAAAGTATTGTTGTTGGCAAATTACAAAGCTGCAAATGCAAACACATTTATTCATTCCTGATTTTCCTTTCTTCTTTTAGATGCTTATTATTATTATGTTTTATGCTATTTATCATTAATTTTTTTATTTATTTAGGCATTGGTACCCTAGGTGACTGCTTAACTTGTCTAGTGCTTGAACTGGCTGTGAGAAGTATGTATTTTTTATTTGCATTGTGTTGTAAAAGTATAGGAATTTTAGGTACAATATCATTATCACATTTTGTCAGTGAATGTGCTTGTCACTGATAGTAATTTTTCTCTCTTCCTGATACCTGAGGTAAGATAGCAGTAGCCTTGAAATTTCACCCCACCAGCTAAATAATGTTAACTTTAGTAGCCAGGTTGTATGAAGACGAAGACTGTAATACACCCTCGCATGCAAGTACAGACCAGCAGTGATTTGCATCCCAATGTAGAGGTAGAGGGCTACTCCCTACAGCTTTTGCCTGGTCACTGGAGGCTTTGAAACTAAGCTGTCAAACTATACATAATTTGCTCCAAAAAATAAAATTATATTACAGATGTAAACTACATATGACAATACTATTATACAAGTTAAATATAGATACAGACTCCACAATTTTGCATTTTCCTTTACCCTCAAAATTGTGAGTAGAGTATACCACATGACTTTAATATGTTATCTATTAAAAATTTACACAAAAATGAAAAAAGTGTCAGTTTACTGTCTCCCCACTTTAATATAAATGTTGGTGGCAGACAAAGAGTGGTGTTGTAATGTCAATTGACTACTTTGTAATGCATATAAGTGTGTACACGCATCTTACACATCTGGCTGCTTCGAGTTGATATAGTGCGGCCAGGAATTAATTTTTGTTATGATAGTTACATGTGCTAGATGCAACAGTGCTAATTGTGGTAGTGTCACATTGAAGCCAGTCTTGAAAACTTGTAATTGCATATGAAGAGTAGTTGTACCAAAACTTTTGTTGAGTAAATGCACTGCTAGTTTAACCACTATGTAATTTAGATGGCCACCTGGTGCAACTGTCCCTCTCTTCAACAACAGGATTTGCCCAGCTCTATTGTAGCCTTTGGTGATGTTGAGGTTTATGGAAGTTAATTGGGAACTTGGCTCAGGTGAACATGGAGGAGTATAAGCTGAACGCCAGCAAGGAGGTTTGGATAGTGGCTTCAGGCATGTGTCCCATGTTGCATTGCAAAAATATAACTGTTCGTTTAGACAAATAACACAGTATTTTAATTCTGTAGTTGACAGCCACTAGCTGAATCGAAGAGCAAGAGCAATTTTTGTGTCTCCTTACCGGAATCCAAGACTAGGGTGCTCTAGGTATTCCCATCATCGCCTGACTTACCTTTCTTTAATTTTGAAGGTCGTTTCTTTAAAAAAATGAACAAATGGTCTGAATAGTCATATCAGCCCTACTCCACGTGGATGTCAGACCTTTCAGAACATTTGCTTCAAAGCAATTTGTTTTTGCCACTATTGTCACAACATTTGTACAGAATGACACAGTACTTGTTTTAAATTACATTACAGCTTACAGGTGGCCCTAGAAAGATTGTGGCCGGCACCCTGGCACCATACTTCCTGCTTTAGTCTTCCACAAAGAGTCCTGTATTAATTACCTCCACACCTTGGCAGCTTGCTAGGACTTGAAGACAGAAACACGCTGTCACACTAGGCTGCAAAAAAAATTATGGGGCGGGAAGGGGGGGGGGTAAACACTGGGATGAAGAAGAAGGAATGAGAAATAGTGTCAAACAGAATATAATAAGAAAATAAAATAGAAAGAGAAGATCAGAAGGGAAGAATAAATGTTTATTCATTGTTTGCTTATTGGGAATATTTCTCTAGACTTTAGAAATTTTCCTTTTGTGTTTATTTTTTAAATTGATTCCATAGTATTTTCTATATTCTTGTGTATGTGTCCAATTTTTAATGTGTGTCTGATTGGTTATTACACATTGCATGAATATGTTCCCTCTGTCTTGTCTTAAATGTTCTGCCTGTTTGGCTGATAGACTTCTTAGGGCACGCTATATAATTTGATTGGTATACAAGGCGCTGTTAAAGATTCATGTAATTTGTAAAAGTAACCCCAGCTAATTATTGATAGTTGAAGATGTGTTAAAGCAACGCTTGCAATAATTTCTCTGTGTCAGAATGGCCATGCTGCAGAGATACTCAAATTTACAACTTTTTAAAATGTGTTAAAATAGAAGGACAATTTGAGTAATTAAACATAATAATATGAAATATATTTTTATGTAGGTCATGGATGTAGAAATATACAACATACAACATTTTACAGAATTTGGTTGTACTGATTACCAGCATTGTACTAGAACTGTGAATATTAAGTTTGCATACCATAGATTAGAATCGCAACTCTTGTTGCAGGGAACACTAAGAAGTATTCCATGGATTTTCTCCTGGAATTGGCACTATCACCTCTAAGCCGTAAGAAACCGAAGGATTGGGAACGGCTTGTGTCATATGGCATTGCGAAAAAGGTAGATTAGTTGTCGCACACTTGTGATTGTAATTATTAATGCAGAATTAAGTCTTCAGGGACTGCTTAAAATTTTATTTCTTCTTGGGATCCTGATGGATTGTGTTTTTAGAATACCAATTAACATTTAGGTCTAATGGTATGCTTTGTGCTTATGTGTGTATGCGTGTATTTATGCACACTTGTGCATGCATGCATTGTGATGGAATATTAAAGGATACTGGGATGCTTGTATGCAGGTACGTGCAAGAATAATGTTGACTATTCCTGAATTTAGTCTTACATTTTTTGTGTGCAAATGTTCTGCACATTTTGTAAAATACATAAAACTATTCATAAATGCAAGAAAATTACAAAACAGACTGATGAAAATCAAGATATCATCTTAGTATTCCTCAACATTTAAAATTGTAACTTTGTATGAAATATTTAGGACCTCAAGGAATCTTTTTGTATTTAATTATGTGACTGGATAATTTAAATCTGAAACCAAAGTTCCAGTTTGAATGTGATACTGAATGCTACAGCCTACATTTCCAAACACTTGAACTGATACTGTTTAGACAGGTGATTCTCAAAAGCAAATTGAGGTATACATGTAAGACAGTTATGCTTTTCTTACAAAGGACGTTCTTAGTTTGTTATTTAACTTGAGAAATAAACTAATGGTGGAGTATAATTTTTGTAAGTATGTCACCTTGGTTCAGAAATCCGGTTTAAACGCTTAAAAATTGGTTTCGACATATAAATGTCAAACTTTGGTAGAAATAATGTCATCATTTATTAACTAAGCAGGAATCATTTTGCAAACTGATTTTCAAACACATGTATAAGAATGCTCCAAACATTACTCAGTTGAAGATTTCCGTCTTCTGGGTTGTTGCGCTGTGTAGTCTGGTCGATGTTAACCAACGTTTCAGAGGTCATACTGCCTCCGTCATCAGGGCGATGATGACGGAGGCAGTTTGACCTCTGAAACTTTGGTTAACATCGACCAGACTACACAGCGCAACAACCCAGAAGACGGAAATCTTCATACTCACCGCTGTGAGAACCTCAAGTCTTACATTACTCAGTTGCATACTGTTGAATTTTGCAAGATATAAAAAGTCATATCAGCACACATATTAGTATGTATCCTTTAATCATTGAAGCAGAAATAAGTATATAAATAGCAAGAAGAGAAGTCATTGAAGCAATGTAAATTATCTATGTAGGAAATTACTTTTAACTTAATATAAATTGATTTAATACAACTGATTCTCACGTAATGAATGTATCAGAAGGACCTCCCATCACAAGACCCACAGACTGTTGTTTCTGTTTACACCCAGAATAATGTTAAACCATGAAGAGTGTTTCGAGACTCAGACTTTGAAGGCTCAAACTTGAATTACTTGCATGTACCTACCTTGTTCAGGTGTGTTTTGGTTGTGTAGCACATACTTTTTTATTTATTGTGAATGATTATTTCTTTTTGTTCTGTTCCTTTAATTGGTTTTGTTGGTTCAGATGTTTTATAATTTGTTTGTTTTTAGTACTATGAAAAATATTTGATGTAATTACAAATCTTAAATTCATAAATTAACTCTACTATCACTGTGTGATTTCCATCTTTAAGAATAAACTAACTTTAGCCACTTTCACAATATTTCTTCTCCTACCTTAAGCACTTTAATAAATACTGTTAACAGTAAAATAAATATGCCTTGCCAGTAATTATATATAAATTAGAAAACAGTGATATTTTTATTTGATCATCAGCAGCATCTTCCATGTAATTTAATCTTGTCTGTTTTACCATGACCTCTCATCATGTATTTGCCTCCAGTCTACATCTGCTCTGTCTACATTCCTACATCACATTTATCCACTTATTCCATTAAATTTCTGTTATACCAATAGATTGTCTTGATGTTATTCCTATATTTAAAACTAGTTTCAGTTTTTTTACTATTTTTAAAACTGCTGTTAGTGTTCTGAACTTGTTGCAACATTCCCTTTATTCTGCGTCTTATGGTTACGTGACTTCAAGTCTGTAGTGTTCCATGTTTCAGCCCAATGTGGCCATCATCAGGTTCCAATACGTGTTTGACAGTGACTTCATGTCGGCTCTTCTTTTCTTTTCTTTTCTTATTCACATTATCTGAAAAGTAAGCTCACCCCACAGAGTCTGACCATATTGCCACTAAAAAGATATGAAATGTTTATCTCAACATTTTTCCTAAATATTTCTAGTGATATTTATTTTGGATGAAGTAGTCTTAAGAAATAACTACTTTTCTCCTTCATGCAAAGTGGCATCCCAGATCAGCCAAAATAGTTAAAATAGTGTAGTGTTTAGTTTTTATTTTACCGCTTTGACCCGGTGTTAAAATACAGCTATCCCTGTACATGGAATTTGAAAATAGATGATCACAACATTAGGTTTCGCATGAAGTAGCAGATCATGTTGTCCAGTTTTATTCAGTATTTAATATATTTAAATATATATGACAAATTTATTTGGCCAAAATGAAATGTTTCATATGAACTGTTTGAAATTGTCAATGGGTTTATGAAAACTCTTCACACATGCTTACATTTAGTGGGATAACTTGTGTTCTGTCTTGTTCTAATAATATTCATGTGCAGGAAGTGCCTTGTTCAAGCATGCTGTTCCATTAGATTTTATCAGAAGTGGAAAATGAGCATTTTCTTAAATAAATCTTTTCCAAACTTTTAGTTTCAGTATTATTGATGTTGATGGAAAGAAATGATACCCACGTTTTGGCATAGTGACTCTTCTATTTGATGCACTTTTCCATTGAGGTACAAGATTGTGTATCCTCTAAGATAAGATGTTTTTGGGTATGCAGATGAAGTTGAAACATAAAAAGGGCATCTTACCCAATAGCTTCATAAGAAGGTGCAAGTTGTTATAGTGTTCAACTCAGATTTCAAAGTGTGATTGAAACATCTGGGATATTTCCTGTACTATTTGTTGATTTATTTTAATTTCTTTAATGGTTTAAAATCTTAATAAAAAATATTTTAATACTTTTTATCTTCTGATGGTTTTATCTAATTGACATTGCAACTTAGAGGATCTTACAAATATTCATGATTTTTGACATGGTGATGGAAATATTATTCTGAAACATGTGATATTAATTAGTTGCATCAGACTGTGTTTAATTCAAATAGTTTTTATATTTGTGAAGAGCAACATGACTCAACATTACTACCAAAACATAAATGTATTTTATTTTCATCAGCGTCAGTGTAACGGTATTCAAAGAGATATTGCAGTTCTTTTTTGTTCTTTAATCTTGTATATACTATTTCAAAAATGCTTTATGTGCACATGAAGTTTATTCTATTTGTGTTAACCTTCTTTAAAGATACCAAGTTATTTGTTTTGTAGTGTCTGCAATGTTCTTCAAGTCTTTCTGTTCTTCCCCACCTGTGTTGACCTTCTTAAAAGGGTATATTTGGTGCGTGTTAATGTGCTTGCTTTTTGTCTGAGTGGATATTCTATTAACAGTAGCTGCATTCTGCATTTATATACTGAATTCAGTTTTATGTTTCTGTGTATTGCTGTATTAGTTTTTTCAGATGGCTTCAGCACATACTCTTGGACATATACGCTAAAAGAGATACAATTTTAGTTCATGAGGGAGTACAGGCCATTGGAGTACAATAAATCTCAAAAGAAAAAAGAACTTTCAGGTTGCTACATGTTATTATAGGCAGCTATAAGTAAATAAGATGAGATTTCTGTCTCCTTTGCCAGGATTTGACTTTTGTCAGTTGTAATATTGGAAGAACACTGTCTTAGCTTGATAACCATGGAAGAAGAAAAACTTAGTAATATATAGTTCTTATTTGTTTCTATTTTTTAATTGCTTTGGAATAAGATGATACCATTGCAAAGGATCATTGGTAGTAATGTCATTGTAGAGGATCTTTTTGCACCTCACATGTTTAAACATGCCATGTTTGTGTTAGTAATGATAGGAAATCAAGAAGTGTGATTTTTGAGTAGCTTTTGATGACATAATGTCCATACCAAATTCTGTAAAAATCCGTGTATCTGTTCTTGAGTTAAATACATGGCCATAATGGATATAAATGCTGTCATCTGTTCATCACAGATTGTCAGTGATATCATCATAAAATATCATCCTTCCATTTCACAAGTTTTAGCATGTGCCATGTTGATATTACTGATTGTAGGAAATAAGAAATTTGTAGTAGCCTCAAATGGCATAACCTCCATACCAAATGTCAATAAAATCCATCCAGCCATTCTCAAATTGATATGTGCATATGGACAAAATGGTCTAATAGGCATTGTGCAGGGAAGTGAATGCATCTAAAAAGAACAATTAGAACAACACATTCCTAAAAGTTGCACATTTCTCGAAGGCTATTACCACATAAGATGTCTGGGCTCTGCATTACATAATGCTTGTAGCTTATTCCACGTCGTATTGACATGTTTCTAGAATCACCAAGTTGGTGTTTTTTGTGGAAATTAAGAAATATGAAAATAGGATCATCCCTTAGTCTTCTTATCAAGTTCAATGAAAGTCCATGAACTCATTAGATGTTATTGCAGGGGTCAGAATGATGGACATGTGACATCATGAACTTGTCATTCATTATAATATGAGCTAAAACTTATTTTTCCAGAAGGAAGGGGAAACAGCATATTTAAAATTTACTACATGGCTGTATTAACTTATTGAACAGGAATTTGGACATGGACCAAGGCAGATAGTAGCAGACTAAT